AGCCATGAACTACGACAAGCTGAGCCGCTCTCTGCGCTACTACTACGAGAAAGGCATCATGCAGAAGGTCAGGTTGGAAATCAGGAAAAATTGTTTGTGTTTTATGTGGTGCTTCTCTTGTTTGAGACAAGAGGCCTCAGATAGGCCTTGAGCTAGCTGTGGGAAATAGCCAAGGTAAGATTTTTAGAAAGCTGGGCAAGCAGGCCTTAGAAAGAACAGAAAACTCAGAGCTAGCTGCAACTGCAAAGCATGAGAAACCAAACAAAGGGGGAATTGGAGTTTCTTTCTTTTTTGTGTATATTCTGCAGTCAGGAGAGTTGGAATTGACGCAGCTTCGAGGAGGTAGAATCAGTGAAGGAGAGGCTGCCTGGAACTTGGTGCTGTGTGGCAGGGATGGTGTGAGGGCCCTGGAGAGAGAACTGGGAGTGTGTCTGAGTGCAGACTGTTCAGGGACAGAGAGTGTCAGCTGGCAGCACCCCAGGCTCCAGGAGTGACAGATTTTCTCCTCAAGCCAGGTCCTATAAGCTCTCAGAGAAACATATCCTACCCAAGCTAGCCCAGCTACCTCAAATGGCATAAAATCAGCAGGCTGGCTTCTGAGGTAGTGTTAGAAACAGAAAAGTCGTATTAAAAGGCAAAATAACAAAACTCTTTACAGAGAAAACCTGAGCTAGGGGCATGAGGCTCCTGCTAAAACACCCCACAAAAGTCATTAGCTCCTTTGTTCTCTTCTTTTCTAGTGAATTGCTTAGGCAGGACTTTCTGGCCTCTGTCCAATCCTTAGGTCTGACTTGAAGTCCCCAAGGTCCTATTTGGGGACAAAGACACCTATGAGGTGTCTTTTTACCAAATTGAGGAGAGAAACTTCTGGGCTTCTTCCTTTTTAAGGAGACCAAGGATAATTTAGTCACTCCATCAACAGGGGGCACATTCCTGCACAGGAGCTGCTCCAGGGGAGGTCAGAGCAGCAAGAGGACAGCAGGGAAACCTTCCCCAAACTCCTATGCCTGCTTAAATGCCACGTACCTGAGCTTGCTGGCTTTCTCAGATGCACTGTGGAGGGAGAGGAGAAGAGGGAGTGGGACAGGGACAAAGCAGGTGAAAGATAAATTCTGATTTCCTAGCCAGGGTTTGCTCCAAGGAGCAACGAGCAGCTCTGACACATCTCAGGGCAGGCAGATGTCGGTGCAAACCTCCCCTGGCGCTGCCCCTGGGCCTGCAGCACTCACCGGGCCTCCTCTCCTCCCTGCAGGTGGCTGGGGAGCGATACGTGTACAAGTTTGTGTGCGAGCCCGAGGCTCTGTTCTCCATGGCCTTCCCCGAGCAGCCGCGGCTGAGGGCGGAGCTGGAGCTCAGCGAGGAGGACACGCTGCCCCTGTCCCACCTGGGGGACAATGGCTGCCACCTGCCAGAGCTCAGCAGCTTCCCTGCACAGCTCTGCAGCAAGGGCTACACCTACTAGCACTGCTGGGAGCTCTGTGGGCAGGGATGGGTGGATGGTGGGCAGCTGGTGCAGTGTTTGTTCAGCCAGCTCTGAACTCTGCAGCCCTGCCCTGCCCAGGACAAGTTTTCAGGTACACAAATGGAAAATCACCTGGCAGCACGCAGGGCTCTTGTGTGCTTGTGCTAAAACCTTGGTTGAGTGAGGATGGGGCAGGTTCTCTCAGGTGATTGTACCAAACCTGTCACAATCCCCTCACTGCAGAGGGAGGGGATGCTGTCCCACCAGGGCTTTTTTCATTCAGAAAAACGAGAGAAATGATGAGAATGTTACAGTGCTGCTGCTGACTCTGTTCCTCCTGTCCATGTCCTGAACCTCTGCATGACCTGGTTCCAGCTCTGACCACAGGAACTCACTCTGAAAGGCCACTTAAGCCTTCCCAGGATGGCTGCAGGACAATGCTCCCAGATTTTGTGCCTTCCTTGAGGAATACTCATCAATTATCCTGCATGCTCCTGCCCTATCCCCTCCCTGCCCATGCCAGCAGTTTCTGCTGTTCAGGCCCTCTGAGCAGGGCAGGTGCAGGATCCTGCAGTCCATGGCCCAAAGGGATTTTATTGATTTATTGCCCTGCTCGGGGGCACAGCTCAAACCAGCGCCTCCTTCAGGGCTGTGGGAAGCAGCAAAGCCTGAGACACAGCTCAGTGCAGTGCTGTGGCTTTTCCAAACTGAAAAAGTTCCTCAACAAAACATCCTCAGGAGATTTGAAGAGCTGCCAGGCTCTGGGGTGTGCCCGTCCTGAGCTTGGCTAGAGAATTGTCTGAGGCAAGAGGTGGGATTGAATTTAATCACACCTGGTGGAGGTGGGATTAAAAAATGCTATACAAAATAATCTGAACTATACATAGATCTTAATATAGGAATTCAGACTTAAACTCCACAGATATTTGCATGTTTGGGGGGAATTCAGATGTGTTGAAAAGGAGCTCTCTCTGCAGTCCAGTGCAGCACATGCACTTAACTAAACTGGCAGGTTTTCCACAACAGTAAATGTTTATATTTGGTACCACATCCTGATTAAGAGGTGTTTAATTTTTTAATCAGCAGCTCCACCACATTCCCAGTTAGACAAGTGTACCCATACAGAAAAAGTCTCTTTCCACTGCTTCAGATTGATGTTTCAGCTGCTGAATACAAAGTATTGCCAATCCTGCCAGCATGGTAGCCTGTAGAAAAAATTCTGTATATTGACTGAAAGCCTGATTTTCCCTGCATGGCCAATGCCAACCCTCCCAAAGCCATGGCAGGCAGCTCTCCCTGCCTGAGGAGGGCTGGGCATCAGAGCTGTCTGCTCTGCTGCTGCTTTGGTGTTCTGGCAGCTCTGCCCCTCCTGCCCTGCCCTGCACAGCCCCTGGGCTGTGCCAGAAGAGAGGGTGAAGGGAAACCTTTCCTTTGGTATAAACTGCCTTTACTATTTATGAGTGTAAAAATATTATCATTAATAAATTGGTCTGTGTTGGGCCAGTGCAACCTCACTGAGTGCTCCTCCTTTACCTTCTGGGTTTGCTCCTCCCTTGGCACCTCCACCTGCAGCATTCCCAAGGATGTGACACTGATCCTTTGGGCCACCCCCTGCCCTTCCCTCCTGTCCTTTCCTTGACTCTCTGAGTCCAAAGTTACAAACTTTGTCATTCCCTTTAATTTTATGATGATACAACACGAGGGAAAGCTCAGGACACTGAACATCCCTGCTGACCTTTGTACAGAGAGGTATTTCCAACACAGTTACTTTTCAATGTGAAACATTCTTCCAATTCACTGTGTAAAACAACCAGCAAGGTACTTCTCCACATTTCAACAATAATTTTAGCAAATGTCCCAGTTTTAGAAAAAAAAATAAGGTTTCTACAGCTATGGAGTCAAATAAATTTCATCTGTTAAAATATTTTACAGACAGTTTGGGCCTGACATAGCACACTTCTTTTTAAAACAATAAACTGTTATACAATTTTTACAGACATTTTAGCTGTAAGAGCTCATTCTATTACAAAAACCCAACAGCTGTGATGCCACCAAATACTGTAAGTGAAAATAAAGCACATGGCACATTGAATAAAAGGTCCAAACACTTGTAACCACTTACATTCCCAGATGGAACTGTGCTGCAGAGGGGATTAATGGCTGATAAACCCTGATGGGGATCAAGGGCAAGTCTTGCAGCCTGACCTGTGCCATTGTCCAAATATCTTCTAGCTGGGTTTCAAGAATTTTTCCTGCCTTATCCCAAAGCCAGAGATACTGAATATCTCACCACAGATGGCTTAAATAAAATACAAGTATTTACATTGCATGGGAAAATGCATAAACCTGGTAAAATAAAGAACAGGCTGCTCCCAAAAAGCAGTCACTGAGCAAGAACCTTAAGCAGGAATAAATCCCTTTTAGCAGGGTAAAAACACAAACTATTCCACCTTCTATTTGTCTGGTCACTCAGAACCCAATCAGGCTGGTCAGTAACCAGTT